GAGCCTGTACACACTAGGCGTTTTTCAACGCGCGTTTTAAAGAACCAAGAGTTCTATGTAGGCGTACACACTCAAACGCGCGCTTTTGGCCAAGCGCGCGTTAAACGCGCGTTTATAGATTTTTGTTAAAACGCGCGTTTTGCGGGCGTTAGCCGAGCGCTTTGAGATATATGTGCTGCCATGTTACTGTACATTCGATCGCGTGTTTTGCGGGCGTCAGCCGAGCGCTTTGAGATATATGTGCTGAAATGGAGAACGATCATTTTGATACTTATCTATTTATTGATGAAATCTAAAAGAGACCAACCATCATCAAAGGATTTTATAGATATTTTAAAAGAATTAAAAAACTTGAATTTATTTTGTCTTAGTTTTGGATACAACGTCGCAAACATTCCATGCGTCAGTCTATCTCATAATATTGGGTGCACTCAAAATTCTCTTTGCCTCTGCCGTCGTCTTTTATAGCGACGATAGAGGAGCCACACACAAGCAATCACTTCCACATCCATTTCCAAGCCGAGCCAGTGCGCACGCTCCGCTAAACGCTTGTCGAACGCCAAGCTAATGCGCGTTAGCTCGGCGTTCGACGCGCGTTTAAAAACGCCTAGTGTGTACACAGCCTTAGTCTATGTCCACCCTGAAGTTCCATTCTAAATATTGGTGTAAGAATTTTTGAAATCGGATGAGTAGTTTCGGAGATTACCCCCTACATACAAACTTACAAACTACAAACAAACTTACAAACATTACCTCTTTATAATATTAGTATAGATGATTTAATTTAGTGTCAGTCTTCAAAATACACTCTTCCCTGATCTATACAAATTTTTGCATGCTCTAGTAATTTATGTATAACCTCATAAAAAGAAATTTTGGAATGCTGTTTAGTTACCTTTGTAGAATTCTTGGTTTTCTGAAATTGTCTCCCTTTCAAAGAAAATTTAAATCTGGGGGACAAGAGTCCCAAACTGGCAAGCCAAAACTGATCACTTTCTGGTTTAAAAAAAAAAAATTGCTTTGAAATTTGAAAGGAAGACAATTTCAGTAAACCAAGAGGCTGTATAGATGTAAAGTAATCAGCATTCCAAAAACATTCTTTCTTTTTGAAATGCAATTAGGCATATATAAATTACTACAACATTGGTTCTCAACCTGTGTTCTGCAAACTTAGTATAATAAACCTAGTTTTTATTGAAAATTTATTCCCATGTACTAAAACAACATATTGGTTCATTTGTATACAATTCCATGTTTACAATTTTATTCAATACAATAAAGTTTATTAGTTTACTGTTTCATGAGAATAGTAAATATGGAATTGCTTATCAATTTTTGAATATATTGATGCTAATGTTCTGAATAATAATTATATGAATAATATTCCATGGCCTCATAAAGACTGAACTACTGTACTAGTGTGCAAAAATCTGTATAGATCAGGGAGGAGTGTATTTTTAAACTGATAATAAACAATTATTCCTGTCAAAAAGTTTTTTATAAATACAGTCCTTTAACTTACTAGATTCACCTTTTAAATCATTTAGAAGGTATCAAATAAGTTGATAGTCCTTATTTAAGATATTTAAATAAGTAATATTAAATTGTGATAAATAGTATTTAAAGTCAAAAGAATTAGTCTTCATAAAAGTTTTAATTAACTTTTCCTGAACAACATTACTAATTTATATTGAACAAAAGTATATTTTCTTCCCAAGACATGAACAATACAGTGATCACTTTGCACAAGTACTTTATTTTTTGATATCATTCTTTACAATATGCATTTAAGATATTCTAAATTCCTACCAGTTTCAGAGAGGCACCTTTAAACAAATTTTTTGCCACAAATATTTAAAAAAATTTTTGATACAACCGGCTTCTTTCAACTCAATAATCCTTCCCCTCTCAAATTCGGTTAGTTGTTCATATGGTTATAAATTGCAATGTAAAGGCATCACTAGTGATACAGTATCCCTCTGCAACAGGTAAACTGCAGACAGGATGCCTTTGCGATTTTTTTTACAGGTCAAGAGAGACACACTTTAATGCCCTCTACTGGCATTACACAATGAATCATCAGGCAATAACTCTAATCATTTTCATATCTGCTTGAGACTTATCTGCATGCCAAGTTTTGCAGTGATATGGCTTCTTGGTGGACTAATTTCTATGGCAACAAGCATATACTGTATTTACTTTAAATTTTTTAATTGTTTAATAACTTCTAAATGTCTAAACGATACATCATACAAAGTGTCTTCATTCAATAAGTTATTAGCCTCTTTCACCATCACAATTGGAAATTTTTTTTTGTAAGTTATGTGGTAATTTGTAGAGCATATCCCCTACAAGTTTACAAATTTATTCAATTGAGGTGATAGATATATATGCTTTTATTTAAATTTCTAACAATAGTTCTCTTTCACAGTGTGGGTAGTTGAGGACTGGATGTATTTGCTAGTTATACAATATTTTAAATTTGTTTTTAAATTTATACAAAAATTTAAAAACAAAGTTAAATTTTTGTACATTTAGCAACAATAATACATCACTGATAAGTATTTTTTTTAAAGTCTTGATATAGTGAAAGCTTCAGTCTGTTGAAAGTTTACTACAACAAGAGTCCACTGTATATCTAATTAGTTTAGATATATGCATAAAACAAAAGTAAAATATACATCAATCTTCTACAATAGAATAAATGATGGAAGTCAAGATTTATAAAGTTTTTATTGTACAAGNGAAAAAAAGGTCCGATACTTTTTGAACAGACTTTGTATAAAAGCTCTCTTATATCCCATAAAACCTCTTATATAAAAAACTCAAAGAGTACAGATTTTTTTAAATCCATCTGCAATCATTTTGTCCTCTAAACTATCTTATTCTCTTGGCAAGATTTGAGCCTGATTAAAAAACTGCTTTTGTAAAACATGATAACATTTAACAGAAGAGATTTTGTAAAAGAAATAATGTTTACTACAGGAATATATGCTAAAAGTGAGTGCAGATTTATTATATAATGAAATAATTATTCTTTTATTCTTGTTGGTAATTTTCATGTCTAGAAAATTAATCTGTGCATCTTACACACAATCAAGCATTAATGTAAATTGTAATGCCAAGCTTAAAAATAAAATCTTGGATGATTTTAGTATATTTCCTAGATATTTCAAATAATAAAAAAGTAATTCAAGTAATGGAACTTATATAATAGGTTTTAGTTATATTTCTGGAGGATGGGAATGTCTCTCTGCAAAATCTAAAAGCAATTCTACAAACTAGATCACTACTAGGTATATTATCGGTGTGCCTCCAGTTCGTCCCTATACAGATCTGTCAAATAATAAGATGAATAAACTACTGTGGTTAGGTATTCTGGAATCTCTGACTGAGTGAGTGTCTTACTTGCTTACTTTTATTGTAAATAAATGCCTCCAAATTAAATGATAGGAACAATTTTTATTATCCACAAACTAAATACAGTTACCTAGATTAAATTTTTGAGAAATTTTTACTATTTCCAAAGAATTCTTAGTTTGTATGCATTTTTATTTTCCTGTTGGTTTTCAGAAACTGGTTCTAATTACGGAGCTAAAGATTTTTTAACTACTGGTCTGAACAGTTATCTTTCTTCATGTGCTTCTATAAATTTAAATAATTAAGATATCCATTATTTTATTGTGATATCTTTCAGCAGTTTACCTTTATTTACTATTTTTAATATTGTTACAGAGTCTATATTGATTAGTGTAAATTTTTGCATTGGTATAAATGTTTATTTTGTTATCTGTTATTTATCTTATAGCTAGGATAAAATATTTACATAAGTTGATCTATACAGACAGGTAGATGCACTCACAGTCAGTCTGGATTTGTTTAATCATTATCAAAACATAAATGATTAACCATTTCTGGTTAAAGTTATTCTGTTATTAATTCTAAAGCTATAAAGAAGTTCAAAAAATATTTTATAAAAATCTAAAACCTGACTCTTCTCTCAAGTAAGTCATTGCCTTATTTAATCAGATCATATATTCCCATGATAATCTATTCATATATGATATTACATGATAAAATAACTTATTAATTCAATTTAAAATAAATTTTTTTCCTTTGTACTGTATTAAAACAATGATTGCAATTAAACATATTTAACATTTTAATGATATACTTACAAATTGTAATTCTGTATTAGAGTAAATATTCCATTTAAAGCTAAAAGACTGGTAGAACCACCTGTAAATATATACATATATATATTTAAATTATTTTAAGATCTGAAAAAAAAAACATTTTAAATTATCTCAAATAATTTACATTTAAAATTCTAATAATAATAATTTATTTTTAGATTGTTATTTAACTTAATTTTCAATATCACTTATAAGTTCAATATAAAAGAAACATTAAAATTCCATTAAATTTTTTGTTTTAACAGAGTTTTTTTCACTCACAGTACACATTGACTAGGAGAAAACTATGATATTAGAGGAAATTAAGAGAGAGAAAACATAGATCATATAGGATATTGATGTATGAAAAGAGTTTTGAAAATCAGGTGATCAATAGTAGGAATTATGATTCTGTCTAATGTGTGTAAATGAGTCCTAATCACTAGTGTTTAAGAAGTTGTCCTGAGATTGTTAAAATAAACAAAATATAAAAAATAAGAGAAGAATGTTTTAATCCTATAAAAACATATACCCTAGAAAAACAATAGACTTCGCTCCTTGGAAAGTTCAACACTTCAAAACTTTAAATCTTCAGAATAGAATTGAAAGAAAATGGTGGAAACTTTACAGAAGAGCATTTTCAAGATTGAACATGAAAATGCCTTAAAGAGTAAATATTTCTTATATATGGATGGGCATAATCCAAACATGCTTGTGATTTAAAACTGTCAAAACTGTGTATGTTAATTATGACTTCAAAGAAAAGTAAATTTAATCTATAATTTTTATAACAATTTGAGTTCTTAAGAGTTTTCATCATTTCACTTTATTATTTAGTATAAAGCACCAAGTATGTTTATTGAATATATATGTTTATGCAATCTGTAATATAACAAGAAATCTTACGAAATTCTTCTGAAATAAACTATAGTCTTATTTCAAAAAAAAAAATCTCTCTGATATAAATCACATCAAAATTTTTAAAATAGATTGTTTCATTAAAGTGTTTATAAGAATTATGAAAAAACAAAACTTCATTTAAATATCTTCTTTTAGATTAAATAAGGTTATGTTTCCATTTCTTTGACCATAAATAAAGTTTGGATATCATCATTAAAATAGTTACTAATCTATACATAAGGAAATTCTTCCAGCTTTATTCTATTTTGAAAAATATGTATTATATTATATTATTCCTATAACTTTATACAAAGTGTGCTAATAAGTTTGGGGATTGAATTTATTAAATAACTAGCAGACCCCGCCACACGTTGTTGTGGCTCAAAATGTATCTATTGTAAATGTATAACACTTCCCCCATGAGAGGGGAATTTTTCGAAAAATCCCTTCTTAGTGTACATTCTCTTGACATACCCTATTAAAACGCAATGAAAAATGCAAAAAAACCGCATCTAAAATAGTATAAATAGAAGCAGAGTTCTTTACGATAAGCCTTAATGCTGTCCATCTCCCCCAGTGGGGAAATTTGACATGTATATTATATAAAAATGCATATTCAAATGCAGCGTTGTGTCAAAATTTCAAAGGAATCGGTAGGAACAAATGAACATTACATTTTTATTTATATAGATAGATAGAAGATGATCTGCTTTAGTTCATCCTCACAGAAAAGCAAACTTAGGTCGTACTCATAGCGCCATCTGTTGGACATAAAAGCCTTAACCTAGATGATATCTTTTAATTTGTATGAATGTTTACCGGATTAGAGCCTTTACACACTAGGTGTTTTTCAACGCGCGTTAAACGCGCATTTTAAAGAACCAAGAGTTCTATGTAGGCGTACACACTCAAACGCGCGTTTATAGATTTTTGTTAAAACGCGCGTTTTGCGGGCGTTAGCCGAGCGCTTTGAGATATATGTGCTGCCATGTTACTGTACATTCGATCGCGTGTTTTGCGGGCGTCAGCCGAGCGCTTTGAGATATATGTGCTGAAATGGAGAACGATCATTTCGATACTTATCTATTTATTGATGAAATCTAAAAGAGACCAACCATCGTCAAAGGATTTTATAGATATTTTAAAAGAATTAAAAAACTTGAATTTATTTTGTCTTAGTTTTGGATACAACGTCGCAAACATTCCATGCGTCAGTCTATCTCATAATATTGGGTGCACTCAAAATTCTCTTTGCCTCTGCCGTCGTCTTTTATAGCGACGATAGAGGAGCCACACACAAGCAATCACTTCCACATCCATTTCCAAGCCGAGCCAGTGCGCACGCTCCGCTAAACGCTTGTCGAACGCCAAGCTAATGCGCGTTAGCTCGGCGTTCGACGCGCGTTTAAAAACGCCTAGTGTGTACACAGCCTTAGTCTATGTCCACCCTGAAGTTCCATTCTAAATATTGGTGTAAGAATTTTTGAAATCGGATGAGTAGTTTCGGAGATTACCCCCTACATACAAACTTACAAACTACAAACAAACTTACAAACATTACCTCTTTATAATATTAGTATAGATGATTTAATTTAGTGTCAGTCTTCAAAATACACTCTTCCCTGATCTATACAAATTTTTGCATGCTCTAGTAATTTATGTATAACCTCATAAAAAGAAATTTTGGAATGCTGTTTAGTTACCTTTGTAGAATTCTTGGTTTTCTGAAATTGTCTCCCTTTCAAAGAAAATTTAAATCTGGGGGACAAGAGTCCCAAACTGGCAAGCCAAAACTGATCACTTTCTGGTTTAAAAAAAAAAAATTGCTTTGAAATTTGAAAGGAAGACAATTTCAGTAAACCAAGAGGCTGTATAGATGTAAAGTAATCAGCATTCCAAAAACATTCTTTCTTTTTGAAATGCAATTAGGCATATATAAATTACTACAACATTGGTTCTCAACCTGTGTTCTGCAAACTTAGTATAATAAACCTAGTTTTTATTGAAAATTTATTCCCATGTACTAAAACAACATATTGGTTCATTTGTATACAATTCCATGTTTACAATTTTATTCAATACAATAAAGTTTATTAGTTTACTGTTTCATGAGAATAGTAAATATGGAATTGCTTATCAATTTTTGAATATATTGATGCTAATGTTCTGAATAATAATTATATGAATAATATTCCATGGCCTCATAAAGACTGAACTACTGTACTAGTGTGCAAAAATCTGTATAGATCAGGGAGGAGTGTATTTTTAAACTGATAATAAACAATTATTCCTGTCAAAAAGTTTTTTATAAATACAGTCCTTTAACTTACTAGATTCACCTTTTAAATCATTTAGAAGGTATCAAATAAGTTGATAGTCCTTATTTAAGATATTTAAATAAGTAATATTAAATTGTGATAAATAGTATTTAAAGTCAAAAGAATTAGTCTTCATAAAAGTTTTAATTAACTTTTCCTGAACAACATTACTAATTTATATTGAACAAAAGTATATTTTCTTCCCAAGACATGAACAATACAGTGATCACTTTGCACAAGTACTTTATTTTTTGATATCATTCTTTACAATATGCATTTAAGATATTCTAAATTCCTACCAGTTTCAGAGAGGCACCTTTAAACAAATTTTTTGCCACAAATATTTAAAAAAATTTTTGATACAACCGGCTTCTTTCAACTCAATAATCCTTCCCCTCTCAAATTCGGTTAGTTGTTCATATGGTTATAAATTGCAATGTAAAGGCATCACTAGTGATACAGTATCCCTCTGCAACAGGTAAACTGCAGACAGGATGCCTTTGCGATTTTTTTTACAGGCCAAGAGAGACACACTTTAATGCCCTCTACTGGCATTACATAATGAATCATCAGGCAATAACTCTAATCATTTTCATATCTGCTTGAGACTTATCTGCATGCCAAGTTTTGCAGTGATATGGCTTCTTGGTGGACTAATTTCTATGGCAACAAGCATATACTGTATTTACTTTAAATTTTTTAATTGTTTAATAACTTCTAAATGTCTAAACGATACATCATACAAAGTGTCTTCATTCAATAAGTTATTAGCCTCTTTCACCATCACAATTGGAAATTTTTTTTTGTAAGTTATGTGGTAATTTGTAGAGCATATCCCCTACAAGTTTACAAATTTATTCAATTGAGGTGATAGATATATATGCTTTTATTTAAATTTCTAACAATAGTTCTCTTTCACAGTGTGGGTAGTTGAGGACTGGATGTATTTGCTAGTTATACAATATTTTAAATTTGTTTTTAAATTTATACAAAAATTTAAAAACAAAGTTAAATTTTTGTACATTTAGCAACAATAATACATCACTGATAAGTATTTTTTTTAAAGTCTTGATATAGTGAAAGCTTCAGTCTGTTGAAAGTTTACTACAACAAGAGTCCACTGTATATCTAATTAGTTTAGATATATGCATAAAACAAAAGTAAAATATACATCAATCTTCTACAATAGAATAAATGATGGAAGTCAAGATTTATAAAGTTTTTATTGTACAAGTTTAAAATTTAATAAATTGTATAAAAATTTAAAATCATACATACCAGCATTATATGCTTTAGTTAGAAAATCAGTTAGAAGAAGAGGATTTGTAAAATCAGAAATGACGTTTCGATCTAAAATCATCAAAACTTTTTTATACAATTTTGGAGTTAACTGAAACTTATAAAAAATAAATATTAGAATGTTATTTTAATTGATGATTCTACAAATATTAAATATTTAATAGATTAGCCAAATTTAAAATATTTTGAGAACTTTAATATAAACTCATAAAATGTTGTTATATATAATAGTTGTAAAAAAAAAAAAATAAATAAATATTGCACAGTTTATTATATGATTAGAGTACTTTTAGATTAAATCATTTTTACATTAACAATATAATATTCTTATATAGTAAGTGTTAAATGTACAGTTTAGTACATTGAATTATTTAATGTAAAATATACCTATTAAAGCTTGACATAAATTTCATGAGCAAATCCAGAGACACTGAGCCAAATATGTGTGTATTCATTTTTAACCTGCCAATTTGTTCTTTTATAAATATTATACTTTACAGCATAGTTTCTTTCAGGTACAATGAATACACAAATAGTACAAGATTAAAATACTTTTCATTGTTTCCTCACATCACCCTTGTAAAAAGCCAAAATGATATGTATGAAATACTGAAAGTACATCCCTCTAAATAAGTATTTTATAGATGATAATTTTGGAATCTTAAACATTTAGAAAAATGTAATCATAGAAACCTATTATTAATTGTAAAGTGAAATCTAAATCAAAGACATTTTTCAAGCTAAAATATTTATTGAAACAGAGCATTAGCAAAGTTTCTTCTATGAGACTTACAGAATTGTGTTCATTCTCAAAAATCTGTTTGATAGATTTTGATTAAACTTTGCCATTTTCCATTAATTGTGATGCAGAATCCAAAAATGCAATAAAAAAGTTGTTTCACGAGCATGTGCAACAAAGTGATATCACACAAATCATGCGACTTTGTTGTGTGATATTTCACAATTGCTAGCATGTCTTGTACAGACTTATAGAATTGAGTTTGTTTTCAAAATTTAATGGATCAATTTTGATAAAACTTTGCCCTTTTCCATTAATTGAGATGAGGAATCCAGAAATGTAATAAATCCAACAACAAATCACTTAACTTTCCTGGCAACATTTAAAATTCTGGTGGCACTATCTGTTAAAATATTTCATTACAAAAATTGTAAATGCTAATAACAAGTAAAATTGTCATTAAGTTCGATCCTACTCGAGATATGACACATGACTCTCTTTATCTCCCCACCCCTTCGACCTTAAACCACCAAAATTTAATAGCACAAATTTTTCTAATACACAAACCTTCCTGCAAAATTTCAGAAATTTTCAAAAGTACAGGAGTTATTAAGCTTGAAAAAGGATAAACAAAATCGTGCCACACACATTAACATTGATACATACAGAAAAAAACTGAATGTTTTTTGCATTTCTTGACATTTCAAGGTCTCCTAAGTCCAAAAATGTAAAAATATTGGGGTGTCATTTATTGACTGATTTCCATACTTTTCTTCTGTTATGTATAACAGAGCCAGGAAAGTAAAAGTAGGAGTCCATGACTTTGTTTTCGATATACAAAGGTATTACGACGACAATGTCAATGCCATTTGATGAGATGAGTGCACCTAACAGTAGGCACAAAACACAAATAAAACACAAGAACAAAGCAATTGCCATATGTTCTTGGATCAACTCTCCGTACCTGGCCAGTGCAAAGATTGTATCCCATGGCCTGCAGGTACAAAATAGCCTCTTTTGTGGTAGCAAGTGCAAAGTTCACCTGTCCATGTTCGTCAGGTACTGTACAAGAATCACCTTTTCCTTGTCTAACAGGTGCAGGAATGGCTTCTTTCCTTCTGGCTCTGCTTCAATTTTATTGCAATACAACAAAGTTGCACAATATCCTAGTTTTAAAATACAGCTTAATTTTTTCCCAAATATTGCTTATAAATATTATGATTACAAAGTTATAAAACATTTTTATTGTTAAGGAATATAAACTCTAGAATTAATTAATGAAATGAATATATCAATAAGTAGTTATTTATTTACATGATAACTACATTTATATTTTGAAATTTTATATCAATTAAACAAAATATGACTTTCATATTTTGTATTGAATTGTAGTCAATACTTTAAAAAATTATAGTACTTACTTGAAATTTTAAAAATTCTAACCATATAGATGTAAACATTCTCTTCATATATTGAAAATCTATTGATATATTATTTTCATTATCTGTAAATAAAAAAAGTAAAAAGCCAGTTTAATTTGAAGAAAATATTTCATATAAAAATTGCTGGACATATGCACTGAGAGCCTAGTTCCTACTTATGAGAGAAAAAACTTATATAGCAAGAAAACATCAAAGTAAATTTTTGTTAATGTATGAATATTAAGGCTATATGAATGGCCATGATTTTATAATTTATAATGGAAAAGATTCAGTGGATTACTTAGTATACATGGGAAATGACTGCCTGATTTATATTACCTATGATAAATTATATGGATCTGAACCTGGATCATGTCTGATAAGAGCGAAACCTTATGTGACTACCTAGTTGACAAAACTGTTAAAAAGTAACTAATTTCGTTTTTTTAAAAAATTTGTAACAACATACTGACCTGCTAGTATGCAGGTACTTTACATAACAGCATCAAAAATTTTAACCATTTATATTTTTAATTTAGAAATATTTTTATAATTTATATATGTAATAAGTCTATAGTCTTTCTGATGCACAAATTTAAATTATTTATTTTTTCTATCAGTAAATATTTAATTTTTATGTAAAAAAAAATTGATTGTAGTTCATATTAAGTTTATTCAAAACATTTCAGAAATGACAAAATCTATTAAAATGATAAGCAAAATTTTTAATAACAAAAAATTTAAAAATAAATTAAATTTCTTACCTGAATTTATAAAAAGTTTTCTATTCTGATCATCATCTTTATTTTGTTTCCCTTCTTTCTTTGGTGAATTTAAATGAATTTTTGAAATTATTGTATAAATATTCTCTAAAAATACGGAATTGCTTTCCTATAGAAAGAATATATGAGTCAATATTAATTATGCCTAAACTATATTAAATAGACAGCAAATGTAATTTATACTATTACTTTTTTACATTTAATACAGGATAAGCGAAACGTCACTGAGCTCTGATTTTAATGTATTTTATATTGGTGATGTTAACATGTGCTATGAATTTCTAAAATTGTTGCCTTTCTCACATCTTTGAGAACATGTAAAGACAATAACAATGGCCCTAAGTATTTTTAAATTAGCTTTGCAAAAGGTAAATTCTGAACCATGCCAGATGTCTCTCCTTGCATAGACGTGCTGATGCACTGTGCATATTTTCTATTGATTCTATATCATAATACAGTAGTGAAGGCTATCCATATGCCCTATCATGTCTCTTTCACAAGTACAGCATGTTTTCATTTTGGAAGTGTATTTTGAAACCAAATCAGAGAGATTTCATTTTAAGTTTGGGTGTATAATAAATAATTTAATTACTTGGTTTTGTGAAACTGGTAGCATTATACAGGCAAAGAAGTAGATGCCTCACCATCTTAACAACTGCTGTGTTTGATGATATTAATCAGAGATTTCAGCAGTCATATCAAAAAACACTACATCATCTGGCACAACAAACGGAATTGTCATATAGTTTAACACTTAGAACCACCAAACATTTGCATTTTTGACCATATCATGTAAAGTTGTGCAAGAACTTAAATCTCTAGATAAGGAGAAGTAGGTGAAGTGTTCTGCGCCTGGTTTTGGCAATTCATACGTAACAACAAGAAAGTGCTCAACAACACATTTTTGGGTTAAAAAAAAACTTATGAAGCATGATTTAATTTAAGTGGCTATGTGATTCACAAAACACCTGTGTGAGACTATGGTCAAAGGTATTATACCTTCTAATTGTCTGGACATTAAGGCCCACTCACCTGGTCACTGAATGGCTTAAAATAAGAATGTCGCCCAATCTGACTTGTTCGACCTTCTGGACTGACACCAGTTAGGACTGAATTAATTAAATATTACATCCTAATGCGCGATAAAGTTAGTGTGTTTAAAGGAGGGCTTATTCTATCGAGTGGGAGGAGTTGCGGGTAAGTCCAATTGTAGCAGGAAGAATGTCGGGAGTTAGTTAAATGAGTCACTAAATGTAACTAATAACAAAAAATTTACTAAATAAACTAGATCAATGAGATACACAATTCAAAATAAAATATAACTGAATATAATCGAGTCTAACTAGAGTTACACCTATAAACCGAGAGAGAGTGAGTACATTAATTTAAACTTACTACCTTGGCTGAAGGTCTAGAAGGTCAAACGATAAAGAGAAGTCTCTTCTCTTTAGCATTTGAGTTTCTTCAGTGAAGTACTTAGACAGAGGAGAGATGAGGGAATGCACAAGTGAGATTTTGTGAGAACTCTATTCTTATGGCAGGTTCTTGTGGATCACTGACTGGGTTCCTATGGCTATGTCCAATTCTTAAGGACTGCTGTCTCCTATGGCAATGTCATATTTCTGTTGACTGCATCTCATATGGCAATCTACTCTTTGAATGACTGCCTCGAATGGTGGGAAAATCACCCTTTTTTTCCTAATTTCTGACCAATAGCATTAAAGGAATTACATTTGTATAGGGGGTTAGATATCCAGATGGTTAGTTCAGTTTGGAGATAAAGTCCTGGGAAAGGAAGTTAATTTCTCCTTTTGACACAAAAGTGACAGCTTTGTCTTCCTTTTTTGTAAACAACATAGAAAAACTAGATATATTTCTCATGCTAATTAAGTAATAAAATTCCGATTCTCACACCTAATATTGGACCACCTCCAATCCACGTCCTCCATAAATTTCCCTTGCATTCCCAAAAAATAAGCATACGGAGAATAGGAAAACCAATCTTTTTTGAAACAACACTGAACAATGAATGAGCTATACCAAGAAATCATTCAAAAGTTCATTTTTTAGTTGAAAAGGATAAACACAATGCCAGCAAGATGAAGTGACATGCCATACAGTGATAGCCATGATGGAACTTCTAAGCACTTTCTTTGGAGATTGTATAATTTTGATAAATGGCCTAAAACATCTCCCAATTTGTCATCATCTGATTTCTTCCTTTGGGGTTATCTAAAGCAGTGGTCCCCAACCGCCGGGCCGCGGACCGGTACCGGTCCGTGGATCAAATGGTACCGGGCCGCCCAAAGAACATTAAATTATTTCCATTTTATTTACTATGGTGTATTTGTCTCCGGTTTGTGCGACTTTTAATAGACGACGGAACAGCGGAATAAACTGGATATAAGAAACACACTTCGAGTGTCATTGTCTTCTATTACCCTCAGATGGAACTGTCTTGTTGCAAAGAAACAAGCTCAGGGTTCTCATTGATTTAGCGTTCTGGTGAGTTAAAATGTTAAATCACATTATATTCATTTTTTGGTGTAATTGTATTTTATTTTGAAGGCACGTTTAAATACAGTTAAATTAAAATTATTAAATTAAATCAATGTAAAATATGAACAATCAACGTCCCCCCTCAGTGGGCCACAGTAAAGTTATCAAACGTTGACTGGTCCGCGGCGATAAAAAGGTTGGGGACCGCTGATCTAAAGGAATGTGTGTACAGGGATAATCCAAGAGATGTGCAATCCTTGAAAAGGAACATTGACACTATCATCAATAACATTTCTCCAATAATGCTGAGATGTGCTATGTGGTTACAAATGTGCATTTGTGCTTGCAGGATCATGGTGGACACTTCCAACATCTGTGATATGTAAACTTTTTTATTTGCATTAAAAAACCCATTACAGTTTTTTGAAATCAGAGTTCAGAAACTTTTGGCTTACCCTGTAATACACATTTAAAAATTATGAAAAAGTATTTTATGCAGGGGTCATGCTGCATAGTGCCAAAATCACCACTTGGCAATAGTTTTATTAAAGTGGTAATAAAAACCCTGTGCATCACACACCTAGCGATGTCATGATATCACACAGCAAGTTCAAACAGGAAAACAGGAGTGAGATTAAGACCTGAAAGCAGTTTTCATATAATGCCACCTAGCACTACAATTTTTTTTATCAACTGATAGAAAATCTAGAGAATTTTTTGGGGTGCCACTTTTTCACTTTCCTGGCAGCATTGAAAACTATATGTGGCATCATCTGTTATGCTATTTTATTTTAAAAATCTTTATATTTTTAATTATCATAAAATAGCAAAAAGTTTAATTTTGAGTATAGGAATGGGTTTTATACAAAAACTTTAAATGCTTGTAATGAGTAAAATTGTCATTAAGTCTGACCCTATTCAAGATATAACACATGACTCCCTTTAATCTCTCTACCTCATTGACCTTTAACCACCAAAATTTAATATCATCAATACCTCTAATAAACAAACCTCCCTGCAAAATTTCAGAAATTTTTGACCAAAAGCAGAGGAGTTGTTTAACATCAAAGAGGGTGAACAAAATCGTGCCCTCACATAAACATCCATACATACAGAAAAAAGCTGGAATTTTTTTGCATTTCTTGACATTTCAAGATCACAAATCCAAAAAATATAAAAATCTAGGAAAATCATTTTTTTGACTAATCATCATAATTTTCCTCTGTTATATATAACAGAGTTAGAAAAGTAAAAATTTTGACATGATAGAATATGTGAAATAATTTTTAAGCATTGTGATCAAATGTGTTATTCGGAATTATTCATTAAAAAATAATCCCTATTTCTAAGCGACAGTTTAACATGTTAGTTTTGCTTTCCAGAGTCCAAAATGATAAGGCTACCAGCAATTTTAATTAGTATGTAAAACTGATGAAGATAAATAATTTGAAGTGACGAAAAAAATTTAAAACTGGTGAAATGATATAAGATTTTTTAAAATTTTCTACAGGAATCCCTGTTTATGGTAAATATAATTTCTTTTTTTCATAAAAGAAAGCTATTTGATAAGTAAGTAATATATATATATTTTTTAATTTAAAGAAGTTAAATTTACATTTAAATTTAAACATAAACATAACATAAAAATTTAAATACAAGAGGAAATGAAACTAATGAAGATTTCTATAACACTGGATAATGAAAAGCAGAAGCGAGTATCAAATTTCATATTTCTTTTAATATATCAATAGAAGAATTTTCTTAGTGAAAATGACAGCATAATTCCCTTGACAAAGATATTTAGCTTGGAGTTCAGTTAATGTGATGCATTAGGATAAAATATCTCCAAAATCAAGTAATTTCAAATACAACTTTTAAGAATATAGTAAACTATGTAATTCACTTTATGGATTTATAGGAAAAAATATAATAATGAAAAGTCGATCCTTTTGATAAGAGAGTTTGACTTTTTCAAATCAGATGAAATAATCAGGAACTTGGATAACATGGAAATTTTGGTGTATTTGCATTAGCACATATAATGTAACCTATTCTATTTACAAGTTAAATTTACTTATTGAACATTATGTCTTTCAAATTATATAATAAAATATTTTGAATTTTATTTACATCTGTTTTTGTTAAAACTAATGTAAACATACAACTATATTACTAAATCTCACTTTAAATTTAAAGAAACTTTAAATACAACTATATTTAAAGTTTCTTTTTAAAAAAATTTTCAGTTAATTAGATACCATTTCATTTATTAATATAAAAAAAAAAAGCATTAAATCTTAAAATCAATTTTCAAATTAAAGCATTATTTACTGTATTTCTTAATTAGAGTAATGTAACTACAATAGAGCATTGATTATCTGAATGTCGATCAACTGAAATGTCAATTAACCAAAAGCTTTCCAGTTGGCAAATTTAAATTTTTGCTAGTACTGTGGTGCTGCAATCTTTGCTATGTGTTGGGCTACTCCAATATTATTTTTGTTGGTGTGTGTGTTTTAGCTGGCAGCACTGGCGCGATTATGAAAGGGTACTTAAGGACGTGCCAGGATTTGAATGAATTTCAACATGAGATAGGTTAATATATTTTTTCGTACGTAATCAGTTATCCGAAAAATTGATTTTCCGAACAACCCTAGTCCCCAATTGATTCGGATAATTGACACTCTACTGTATTTTAATTAACTTTTTTGTGATTTGTAAGAAAATATAAAAATGAAAATTTAACAGCTTGAAATTAATTTTAAATATTGTTACTTCTCAAACACAGTAGAATCTGCTTGTTGTAATCATGTCACTTTAGAACTCACCTATAACTGATAACATTAAATGTGGTGAATAAATAAAACTATGATTAGTAAAAATTTTTGTTTTATATATATTGACTCTGACATTAAAACATTATAATTAATTAATTAATTTTAAAGTTATACATTATTTTAATAATAATGCACCCAGTGTGAAATTGAAGTAAGAAATATAAACAATTTAAGTTACTGTAGTGTGAACAATGAGCAAAATAATTATAACAGTGCTTTAAATGTTAAACTTTAAAATTATAATGATTGAATATTTACCTGAAGATAATGATAACTATAACCAGAACCTGATTACTACAGGCAAGTTTTATGTGTATTTCTTTTAACTTATATTTTGGGACTTGCTAATTCTATTAACATTACACAACTGATGATAATATCTGTGATTACAAAATTGAATTCTACTGCATATCTAAACAATTATTAATTATTGATAAAATTAATAATTGTTTCATTAATCTGTATATTAATGACAATATTATTCAAAAATTATGAATTTGTATTTTAATTCAAGATTAAATTACAGTGTAGATTAAAAAAAGTAACTTGTATAAAAATTTCTTGATTACCTGTTTATTATTATCCTTCAGTATTTTTACTATAGATTTTAGTACATTACATTTTATATCTTCATATTTGAAAAATTTTGTTAACTGAATGATGATCAATTTTTGTTCTTTTTCTTCACTAAGAAGCTTTTGTATAATTTCCTAAAATAATAATAAAATGATGCTTTAATAAAAATTTTAATAAATTAAATCAAAAGTTTATAATTTAATAATTCCTAAACTTAAATGAAAGTAAATTAATTCTGTATTTTAAAAAATTAAATTAATTGTCTTAAAGGAAATTATATAATTTCCTTTTAAAATGATTGAATAAAATGTTAATAATGAAATTATCTACAAAATATCTTCTAATCAAATATATTATCCAATTTAGTAAAACAAATCTTTTTAATATATTAAAGTATGAACTATCAAAGAACAAATAAAGTATAAGAAAATAAGAAAACAGCATAAATTTGGTTTTTTTCCCCATATTTTACAAGTAGTTTGCAATTTAATTATTATTTCATAGATTAGAATTTCATGAATAAATGATATAAAATTTGTTTAAAATTAACTCTATTAGTATTTATAAAAACTGTCAAAAATTTTTTTTATCTATTATCCATGCTTTATGAATATAATAAAGATTTTAAAATCCAAAACTAATGTTATAGCTATTTAAACTATTATTTAAAAATTTTTATCATTTAAGCTTACCGTTAATAATTCAAGGGAAAAATAATCTTTTTTGGAATTTTTCAGGACATTCAATCCTTCTTCTTTAACAAGATTCATTAAAACACTTAATGCACATTCCTATGAAATAATTTTTAATGTATACTTTGTATAATATTAAATAAATTTACAAATAAATAATTACTTAACATATTCACATTCTTATAAAAGGAAAGGAGATTACTATATGCCTAAAATTTTTCTTTTATATGACATGTTTCTTAAATATGTATTGCATTCATGCAGTGATACTAATGGTTCTGTCCCTGTCCTCTGCCTCCGATGTTCTTTATATAGGTATATATATATTTTTTTGAAATTTATAACAACCCTTCTTTACACAAAAATATTAATTTTTTATTTACTTAATAGAGAGGTTGTGGCCAAAGTTTTCATCTCTAAAACGTGAATTTTCAAATGTTGAATGCCACCATCCTGTAAGCCTAGAAGTTTGACAATGGTGTTTGGAACATCGAGCATGATTCCAATGATGTTCCAGTTGCCATTGTCAAACTTCTAGGCTTACAGGATGGTGGCGTTCAACGTTCATGTTTTAGAGATGAAAACTTTGACCACAACCTCTCTATTATTGTTATATATTTAAAATGTTATATTTTTTTTATAAAATTTAAGTATAGTTGATGATAAAACAGAAAAAATGGTATACTTTTAAAATTATGTAAAGCAAATTAATATCATCATCATCTTTCAAAAGCAAATGATGCTTGAATTAATCAATGATTCTGATGCCATGGTGTTCTGTGAGATGTCAAAGGTTAAATTATAGCCTATAAGATAGAGACAGGTTGAGAAGTAAGACTACAAAGTGGGCTAACAAGGAAATTCAATTTATCACTTCCAGGATCACCTTTTGATATGTCTTTAAACTTATGACAATCTCTGTTTAATGTTAAACTGGCAATAAAACGATTTTTTCTAATATAAACCCGATCTTCCATTTATAACTAGTAAATTTTAATTTAAGAAATTATTTATCACATGACATACTAAAATAATATTTTCTGGTGATAGATTAATCACTTTTTATCAGAAACTTTTAAGTAAAAGCCAATTTTCTTTTCTGAGTTCAAATTCTTAATGTGAATGAAATATTGTATTTTCATGGAATGACCGTCATGCCAATCTATCTGGGGGAGATCAAGAAATCAGATATTTCCACGTGGTAAAAATTGGCATGCCGGTTTAAGTGAGCTCATACATCCCTCTCTAGAGAGTGCATTAAAAAAAATGAGAGTTAGGTCACGTAAAAGCAACCAAACTTTCATTCTAAAACTATGAAAGTGTTAGCATTACATCAAAAACTACTATTATACATTTAATTTCTTCATTTTGTCTTCTTTCTAACAATGTAAAATACTCATTAAATTTCAAAAGTGCCTTTCTTATGTTTATTTTATGGTACAGTAATTTGATTCAAAAATGCAAAAATAAACATATTAAATTTAAGAAACTCCCCATAAATTATCTCAAAATACACCAATTAACACCAGCTTTGTGTGAAATTTGAGAGGAAGTTATTTTTAAGATGGAGTGGATGGTCAGTGTAGCCCAACCTGACTAACAACTACTACTACACTACTACTACCACTACTGTCAATAAGTCGTTAATTGTTTTATTGTCTTGTAAACAAGTCTTCCTGATTTTAAGTTGGCCAAATTACAATGTTATTATTTTATTATACTCAAAAAGAATGTTTTCTTTAACGTTGAATTAGCAACTAGTTTTGTTAGCTCTGATTAATTTTATATTTTAGTTGCAGTTAACCAGCATGCCAGTATTTCCAGGTTTCTAGCATGATGATCTTCCCCATTTATATGCATCATGCTAATCATTCTTTGAAAATATGGTACCAAATTTTCTGTAAAAACTCTTTATTATTATTCTATGGAAAATTAATTGTACACAAGCCAAAATTTTAGTCTTTATAAAGGCAAATATGAATTTATAGCCATAAGTATCAATACTTTGTAATGCTAAATTATATATCAATATTAAGAACAAATAAATTTTTCTAATTTATTGGTATTTGTTTATCTTTTCTGTGAAAAAAGTGCTCAAAAAGTGAATCTAATGAACCTAATGGCATTTTGAAAAATTAAAGCAAACCATTTTTACTGACAGGATTCCCTTTTATCTTCGTAGGCCACTGGTTGAACTTTGATATTTTATAGCACAAAACTATTTCACAAATTTCAGATTTTTTTCTGGTAACATATTCAATTTTCCCCTTAAATCATATTTCATTTTTCTGTAAAAAGTTATTTCTATTGAAACATTTTATGTCAATGAGTAAGTCAGTCAGCAAGAACAATGTGGCTTTACAAAATGTTAGGTACTGATAACATATGAGAAAGCTATTTCAATGACATGCTAGGTATTATTATTCTATACAGTATTTTAAACTTGTATACTGATTTCCATGAGAGCAAAATTGATGTTTTATTACATTTAAGCAATTAATGCAAAGTAATCAAAAAAGTATATCTTTTAGGATTTTAAAACCAGAATTTGTATTTTAATATTATGAATATAAACTTAATTTAGAAAGTAGCAAACCTGAATATTGTAAGATGCATCCAAATTTTCAATTAACTGTTTTTTAGCATCTGCATAACATTCCTGTAACCAAGATTTATATACTTTTTCAGTTTCTAAAACTGTAAAAAAAAATTAAATATATTTCTTTCATTATTTCTTTATATTTCATCTTTCATTCAACAAGATAATTATTTCATTTTTATTTCAATTTAATTGATAAAAATTTTAAATTTATTTATGAATTATAAAATCAAATTAAAAGTTATTTTCAAGAAAGTAATTAAGTAATGATAGCAAGGAATTTTAAACATTATCCCTTGAATCCACAGTAAATGGATAATTAAGATTAAGCATTTCTCATAATGTGTAGTAGTACAATAACAAACATTACTGGATCAGAGCATCACTAAGTCTATATCTCTCCAATATTTTTATTTAACACTCGATATAAATCATCAAAATCAAAAGATAAATTTAAATATAATAATATATTTAAACATGAATTATTTAAAAACAGATGAGTAGTTTCACATTATTTTATGCAATAAATTTATTTACACTATTTTAAAAGTTAAAATTTTATTTATTTAATGAAGCTATAAAAATTAACAAATAAATAAAATTAGTAAAATTATAAATTACCTTCATTGTTTTCTAAATCTTGCATATATAATTCATTTTTGTTTAAAAGGATTACAAAAATTTTTTCCAATGTCTTTTGTGCTTCGATAACTTCTTCTTCTTCAACAGACTGCAAATACATATTGGATAAATTTTAATAATAGAAAACAGATGTTTCTAGGATTTTCACAAAATAACAAATTATTTTTAATTATATTAGTAGTAGAAATGTTGGAAATGCCCTTGATAGCATTATAATATAAATAAAATTTTGTTTATGTTAAAAATTGAATCAATATTATCTTATTTAAAATATTAACAAAATTAAATAAAGTATATTATTATAGCATAGAATGATATTTTTAAAATTTAAATTAGATCCATAATGCTAAGAAAAAAAAGTAAAAAATAAAAAAAATCAATAATTTAATTGAGAAAGTTAAATTTCTTATTATTATTTTAGCTAAAAAAATTCATTTAAAAATAAATTTGTTCTTAAACCTTTTAGAAAGTACAAAAAATAACAAATATTTCTTGCACATAAATTTTAAAAATAAAATTAAATACAATACATTTAAAAAATTTTAATTATGTTATAAACATTAGTCATTTAATGTTAACAATTTTAATGCTTATTAGCAACAAAAAAAAGTTTTAATTTTTTTCCAATTAAATAGTTTAATTTAAATAGCAAATAAAAAAAGAAGAAAAGAAAAATCTTGTAATGTTTGATAATTTTTTCAATTTTCAAAATAAATATAGAGTTTAATATATTTTTTCTACAAATAATTATAAAATAATTAAATGAAAGTATTCAGAATCACATAATATCAAGGTCAATAATTCTGATTAAGTTATCAAAAGACTAAAACATTAATTAGAAAAATAAGGAAGATTTTTATGAGATAAGATTATAAGGATAAACTTGAGATATGTAAAGGTGGATGTAACTTATAAGAGCAGTCTGGAAAGAGTAAGAAGGCTATAGATAAGAGATTAGAATATTTGAGAACTAACCTAAACAATAGATTTAAGTTTCTTTGGAAATATAGTAGAAAAGGAGGGTGAATAAGCATTTCTCATAGCATCACTAAGTCTATATCTCAAATTTTTTATTTGACACTCAATATAAAAGTCACTTATATAGAATATTAAGTAATATATAATAATATAGTCATCTTCCTCTACTACTATATTTCCTAATAAACTTAAATCTGACAAAAAATGGACTCACTTAAACCTTTAACCAGTGCATAATAGATGTACCATCCCGCTCTTCGCATAAGCCACACATCCTGAAATTGTGGCAGACTTTGCAGGAGCAGAATTAATAGTCACCACCCTACACATTGAACACCTCAAATGGTTGGAGGCGATGGAGATTTTTAAAGCATACAACACATCCACCTGCATTAATTTGAGGGACAAGATTGGACTTTCAATGGCCTGGCAGGCTATACTACACACCGAAAGCTAACATTCTAATCCTAATTTTTAAGAAAACTACGGGAACATCTATGCATATGTTATAGATATTACATCTCATTCATTTGCACATATATTTTTTGGGATTTCTGACATATTATTGACAACCATTTGCTTGTTGATAGTTAAGTTAGAACATATTTTAAATCACATCATGTCAATGGATGCGCAGAGGAACTAGGCAATCGAAATTTCCATCATACAATTTGGTTCAAAAATCTCGTATTTGTATTTGTTTTTGAAGATCCAGCTGATTTACCTGAGGAAGAACCCAGAAGGGGTTAAGAAAACATTTGGACTTATAACAGTAATCATATTATGTACCGGTTAAAGGTTCAAGTGAGTTCATTTTTTGTCATATACACCCCGGTGTATGGTCATGATTCATAAACTTAAATCTATTGTTTATATATACAATACAAATATTTTTGGTTAGTTACATAGCAATTATCAGGTGTAAGAACTTGAATATAAGAAAACTCTGGCTACTATAAACTTCTGTAATTCACTGTAATGGACTCCTACTATTATGGACCATTTTTTATACACCTGCAGACCACCATCCTTCTGTTATTATGGACTTTTAGTCACTGTTATGTTTTTTTACAATCATCATTTTATTTACTTTATTTGAAAACAATAAATACAAAAATAATATAAAATTTATTTTTAAATCAGTTTTTTGATGCAGATTTTCACATTACATTTTTTGTTTCATTTTTTGACTGACTAGTTTTGGTTTCATTTTCTCTGTGAGGCAAGTCTTGGATTTATTGTGTAAAGCAAAGCCAAGGATCATAAAAGAAAATGAAAAACTTTAGATTAATATATTAGTTTTACTGATAGATAGATATTGTTTTTACAAGTTTAATAAAATATGGCTTATATAATGTACATTACAATTGAAATTTTATCCACTTTTGTCTACAATTTCAATACAAAGTAAGTGACAAGTTAATATTACTACATACAGTAGAATCCCCTTGTTATATTCATGGAAACAGATATGCTGAAAGGAAATAAAAATGTATTGATTTGGCATCTGGACCTGAACAAAACATCTGCACATTGCATATATTTTCTCCAGGTCTGTTGTCGAGATCTGTTCTAACACGATTCTATTGTATAGTAATGGACTTTTCAATATAACAAATAAGTCAGTAATAACAAATAATCACGATAAAATACACTTTCATTATAACAGACTAATTTCTTCAGTTCTGTGGTAATCCATTATATCAAGCTTTCACTGTAATTATAATTGATAAAAAAGTTTAATGGTGTAGATTGGATGTGAAAGTCATGGATTATGGTCAGCTAGATCACTAGATTGCACTCCTTTGGATACTTTTTCATGGATGTACTGTACATCAAATCACAAGTCTACAAAACAAAGTTCTGGACAGTTTACATAAAAGTACAGTTGAACTCTTTACATATTTCTAAATCAGGGATGCACAACCTTTTGTGAAGAAGGGCCAAATTAGGATTAAGTTTACTGACTGGGGGCCAGACCTCCAAGCGATTAATGCGATGGCTGAGATTGGATGCTGGTGGTAATCTTCTTGATGTCTGGTGTAATGGCAGATGTTGAAACAGCAGATTTTCCAAATTCTCTTTGGTTAACCTGTTTCGTGTTTTGCACTTGTTTAAATTCATAAGCGAAAACGCTTATCTGCATACATAGGTACTGCCAAACATGCTTGCACAAAATCGAGCATTGTCTTTCAGTTTTGGAAATGATGTATCTGGCAGTTCTTTGTAGAATGTGAGGAGATTAGAATTTTTGAACTGTGATTTCAATTCATCACTGCACTGGATGTCTATCAACTCAAGTTGGACATCTGGAGGGGCATCTTCCACTTTCACATCAAATGGAGTTGAAAAAAGTTGCAGGTAGATCTTGTATTTCTGGAATTCACCAAACCTCTCATTGAATGATGTAAGGAGGGTGTTAACTTGGTCAGAGTAATCCATCTTCATATGTGGGTATTTCTCTTTCATGGCCTTGCAATGTGGAAAGTGTGTAAAGTTCTCTGATTGCATGTGGGACTTGAAAAGTGATAGTTTGGTCATAAATGCATTGATGTTACTTGTCAACTGAGAAACAAGTTGCATCTTTCCCTGCAATCTCAAATTAAGGTCGTTTAGATAAGCAGTAATGTCAGCAAGGAAAGCTAAATCACACTGCCATCTTTGTCCCTCCAAATTCCTTGTAGTGTTCCCCCGTTCTTTGAGGAAAGTGATAATAGGCCCCAATAGCTCCACAAATCTCTTGAGGACTGTTGCCTTGCTCAGCCAACGAACTTCAGTATACGTGGGCAGGTCAGCATAATCAGCATCTATTTCTTCAAGAAATGATGTGAAGAGTCGATGGTTGAGTCCATGACGGCGGATTAAGTTCACAGTATCATATACATCTTTCAGCAGACGTTCAAATCCCAGCTTCTTTGCACAAAGTTGCTGTTGGTGAATTATGCAATGATACTGGACTAACTCCTTTTGCCTGTCCCCAAGGTGGTTTTTCAGCAAGGTGACCATGCCATTCTCACATCCAACCATAGATGGTGCTCCATCGGTGGCAATGCTGGATAGCTTGTCAAAGTCCAGTGCTGATTTGTTGCAAACGCTCAATAAACTAGTAAATAAGTCAGCACCAGTTGTATGTCCAGAAAGTGATGCCATGCCAAGAAATTCTTCATTCACAATAAAATCTAGTGAAACACTTCTAATAAACACAATCACTTGTGCTGTTGATGATATGTCAGTGGATTCTTCCACAGCCAAAGAAAAATAAGCACAGTTTGCAACTAAAATATTAAGTTGGCCAGAAATGTCTGATGCAATTTGCGAGATTCTTTGTTGTATCGTCATGTGGTTAAGACTGATTGTTTGAAAACACTGTCTTCTCAGGACACATCTCACTTGCGATGATAAGACACTTTTTTATCATATCGCCATCTGTGAAAGGTTTCCCATTCTTGGCTATTAAAGCAGATATTTCTAGGCTGGCTTCAACAGCCGCATCCAATTCTCCAGATTGTTTCTTGAACACATTTTGTTGGCTGATTAGTGATCGTCGTAACGATTCGATTTTCCGTTTGCGTTCCGTACCTTGCAGAAGGAAATCCTTGTGTTGGCTTTCATGATGTCGCTTCAGGTTGAATTCTTTTGGCACTGCTATTGTTCCATTGCACAAAAGGCAAATAATGCTGTTGTTCTGTTGCACAAAACAGTACTTGTTAGTCCACACTTCCACTTCTTGAAACTGATGATTCTCGCGATTGACCTTGCGTTTAATGCCCGGCGCCATACTGTTCACTCTGCAAAACAATGTCTCATTGTGCCGAAAATTCTGAGGCCCGCAACAAATCATGTTTGAGATAAGGCAAGCTAGACTACCACGTGCTTTGTTCTGTATCCACTCTGACCAAAGACTAAAGAGGCGGGGACAGAAGACTATTACGCACACGTGGCCAGGCAGGTCTTAATTCGTTCGACCCCTGTCCGGGCGTCTCCACCATTTCTCAGAATTTGTGAGTCAGATCGTCAACATGCCAGGTGCAGGACACTAATCCATCATAAATGTGGTTACCATTCTTACCTAAATTATATTTATGGCCCGTCAGTTTTACCCCCGTGTTC